ATACAGTGGGAGAGGGTAGGGGAGTTGGGCATGGGTTGCGGCTTGCGGGTGGTTGTTAAAAAAACAGAGACTAATAAAAGAATCCCAAAGACCATTTTTTCTTGCAGGTGGCAGACAATGGACAAGAAAAAAAAAAGGGGATTGTGGGTTATGATTTATATACCATTATACAAAGATGGAGAAAGATATATGGGTTATATTATTATTTTGCAGAGGGAGAAGGAGAGGACAGGGGGAGAGAGGGAGAGCAGAGGGGGAGAGAGGGGGCAAAGGATGGAGAGCGAGGGCAGAGGGGGAGAGAGATGGAGTAGAGGAAGGGAGATGAAAAGTTGTAGAAAAAAAAAAGGAATTTTCATTAAAAAAATATATTATTTAATTATTTTTCCATCCACATGTCACAATGTGATTGGACATATGTGCTCCACTTGTCTTCCACTTCAGACACTTAACAGAATTTTAACGAAGAGACCATTTGTGATAAAAAAAACCATAACGTTAAGGACTATTAGTGTCACAAAAAACCCTCAAAGACCATTCATGATAAAATTTTAAAACGTTAAGGACCATTTGTGATAAAAAGCCAAAATAAAATAAACAACTAAGTTATCAAGGGATTAAAGTCTCAACAACACAATAGTGGAATGTTTTTGTTTTTGTTTTTGTTTTTTTTTTTTTCATATTACACTGACGTTTTACAATCCACCAAAAGTGCAACATGGGACTTAGTGACCTCCATTAGCTTCCTTTGTCCTTTCACTTTTTCTCAAGGTGGGGGTGATAATTCCATCACTGACACTACACCCTCAACCCCCTCCCTCTCTGGTCGGAATCCTAACGATGGGTGGCCTCCCTGGACCCCCATAAGTTTCGGTGTCCTTTTTCTCCTCACTTGTCTTTTTGTCTGGCGCCTTGCTGTCACCCCTGCTGGACAACCATCCTATTGAAGATATTGTGATCGTTTTTATTTAAGCTTGTTTGTTTCCTTATGCTGCCCTGGTGGATGTCCATCCCAATGTGTATGTGGTTCTGGCCTCTCTAGTCTGTTATTGAAAGTTTCCTATTGACCCAAAAAAAAAAAAAAAAAACACTACCCTTAGTAATTAGGGGGTCTTTCATTAACTAGTTATTCATGTATCGGTGTTTTTTTAAAAAAAAAAATTACGTTGAAAGAGGTTTGTTTTACATCCGAATTTTTTTGTTAATTAAAATTTTCTTTTGACGTCATGACGTATGTTGTGTTGATTATTTTTCTTGTACGTGTTGGGATGGTTGTTTTATAATTTGAGACTGATTGATTGGACTTGATGTTACCTTTACCGTTGGCTGATTTGGCTTTATTTGCGCCTTTATTCATTGTACGCGAATCCAATCGATCCAAATTATCCATGGTCACAATTCGACACGAAAAGAAGCTTCATATTTTTCGACCATGAGTCTTTGAGAGCATAAAAACTTGTGCAAATAGAGAAATTATAATGCGTGTTATATCGTGATTGACTGAGGATAGTAGAGGTTTGATTTTGTTCTCTTTATTTATATCATTTTTTGTTGTTGGGGTGATTGAACTCAATAGTTAGTCATATTCTACAAATGACTTGTAGTTTAGTGATTTCCCTTTCTCCAATATCGCTCGTTTAAAGAAGGAAAAAATGAAAATCATACCCTCTTTCTGTCTGTCATCTTTTGCAAAGTACGTAGGTGACTGATTCAATCAAAGAAAATTGGGGGAAATTGTTGTGTGGTAGAGTCGTAGATAGTTGATATATGGTTATAGATGAATTGAATTGCGGCCTTCTCCTAGTGCTGATTGATATGGCAATAGGCATGAGGAAGACGCAAATCTCAACAGCGACACAAGTTGCTTAAAATACATAGAGCGTCCGGACAGAAAAAGGCAATGTTTGCTTAGATAAAGTGAGATCATAAACAAAGGTGCCCCATATAACAGTGACAGATTGAGATTATACCCAAATAGTGAAAGAAAGAGTAGGTTGATACATACTAACGATATTATTGCAATAAAAGGATCAAAATGCAAGTGCCCCTCAAAATTGAATGCACTATATCTTCTTCATATATATATATATATATATATTTTAAGTGGCTTTGAATGATAGAAGATGAGAGTTTTAAAAAGTTAAAAGAGAAAGCACTTGCCGATAGCTTGATACTAAAGATATTAACCCAAATGCTAAACAAACTGAGGTTAGAAAAGGAGCGAGATGAAGGTGACAAGGGTGCCCCTCTGCAATAAATGCATTCTGGTGAAACATCAACCTAGCGAGTATTACCAGATATAGTTTTTGAATTGAAAATTTTGAACCATCCATTTGGGGAAGCGGAAGATATTGCAGAATGTGGTCCCCTCCTCTGTTCTGATTGTAACCAGAATTATTTGAGACCAAGTGTCCTCACACAGCAAGTAAATATCCCAACACCAACATGAAGCCTTTATTTATTCCAATTTCCAACCAACTGATCCCATACCTCACTGCCTTTTTTCTCTCTTTTGTTAGTTACTTTCCCATTTTGCAGTGAAGGGCGATACCAGAATTATGGATGCCTTCTCTTCCTCTTTCCTATCCACATTTCCCACTCAAAATTTCTCTCTCTCTCCTGCCATAGCGACCCCCAAGCTCAGCATTTCCTCTGTTAGAATTGAAGAAAGACCATCAAGCCCACCACCAGCTTCAAAACCCACCTCCACAAAAGCACCACAGCCTCCAAAAACTCCATCCCCGCCACTAACAACAAAAGCTCGCGATTACAACAATGCTTCAACATTCTCTGCGGCCAAGAAACAAACAGATCCTACGCTACCTGCAGTGATCTTCAACGCTTTGGATGACATCATAAACAACTTCATAGACCCTCCACTGCGCCCTTCTGTGGACCCAAAGCACGTCCTCTCCAACAACTTTGCTCCGGTTGATGAGCTTCCTCCGACCGAGTGTGAGATCATACAGGGCTCCCTGCCGCCGTGCCTCGACGGTGCCTACATCCGCAATGGCCCGAACCCGCAGTACCTTCCGCGTGGGCCCTACCACCTGTTTGACGGAGACGGCATGCTTCATTCTGTTAGGATCTCCAAAGGCCGTGCTGTGCTCTGCAGCCGCTATGTCAAGACCTACAAATACACCATTGAGCGTGATGCTGGCTACCCTCTTCTTCCCAACGTCTTCTCTGGCTTCAACGGCCTCACTGCCTCCGCCACACGTGGCGCTCTCTCCGCTGCCCGCGTCTTTACAGGCACAGTCTAAAATTTTCACTAATACTATTTAAATCAATTTGGTAAAATTACACACTAACCCCGTGGTTTTATTTAATTCACTCAATTTATAAGAAGCGAACAATTATAATACCAAACTACAAACTCGGAGTCATAAATACAATTTTTTATATTAGAAATTTCCATATGATTTTTCTTAATATTTTAAATACTTTTGTTTACAGGCCAATACAATCCTGCTAATGGCATTGGTCTGGCAAACACAAGTTTGGCTTTCTTTGGCAACCAACTTTATGCGCTTGGCGAGTCTGATCTCCCTTATTCTTTGCGTTTGACATCCAATGGAGATATCCAAACTCTGGGACGCCATGATTTTGATGGCAAGCTCTTTATGAGCATGACGGCTCATCCAAAGATAGACCCTGAAACAGGGGAGGCCTTTGCCTTCCGCTACGGCCCCTTGCCTCCATTTCTAACATACTTTCGGTTTGATGCAAACGGCACAAAGCAGCCAGACGTGCCCATATTTTCTATGGTCACTCCATCGTTCCTCCACGATTTTGCAATCACAAAAAAATATGCCATCTTTGTTGACATACAAATTGGCATGAACCCAATTGACATGATCACCAAAGGAGCATCGCCTGTTGGCTTGGACCCTTCCAAGGTGTCTAGAATCGGAGTGATCCCGCGATACGCGAAAGACGAAACGGAGATGAGGTGGTTTGATGTGCCTGGTTTTAACATCATACATGCCATCAATGCTTGGGATGAAGAGGATGCTATAGTGATGGTGGCACCAAACATTTTGTCAGCAGAGCACACAATGGAGAGAATGGAGTTGATCCATGCTTCGGTTGAGAAAGTTAGGATTGATCTCAAGACAGGGATTGTGTCAAGGCAACCCATCTCCACAAGAAATCTGGACTTTGCTGTGTTCAATCCGGCTTATGTGGGGAGGAAGAACAAGTATGTTTATGCAGCTGTGGGTGATCCAATGCCTAAGATATCAGGGGTGGTGAAATTAGATGTGTCCAATGTGGAGCACAAGGAGTGTATAGTGGCTAGCAGGATGTTTGGGCCAGGGTGCTATGGGGGTGAGCCGTTTTTCGTGGCTAGAGAGCCCGAGAATCCGGAGGCGGATGAGGATGATGGGTACGTGGTGACGTATGTTCATGATGAGAAGGCAGGGGAATCAAGGTTCTTGGTGATGGATGCCAAGTCTCCTCGGTTTGATATTGTGGCTAATGTGAGGCTGCCCCGGCGGGTGCCTTATGGCTTCCATGGACTCTTTGTGAAGGAAAGTGATCTCAACAAGTTGTAGTGTCATGTGTCCCCTTTCAGCAACATAGTAAACGTTACACAAACTATATAAAAAAAAACACCCACCACATCTATATACTGTCATAACCACAAACCATTACAATTACAAGTTTGAAATATCTATTGTACGTATTTTCAATAAAGCAATCGCATTCTATGTACTGATTGTCAATGTTTTCAAAGGCGAGGTGTATAGGCGAGACGTTTTTAGTAGCGCTATGCGAGGTATAAGCCTTGAGGCATTGAGGCGTAAGCCTTTTGAACATTAAGTTATTTTAATAAGAAAATTTTATGAATAATACAATACGATTAAATTGTACAACTAATTCTTATTCAACTATAACAATCTTTTAAATATAATCAAATATAAGTACTAATTATCATTCAAAACATAATAATCAATCCCAAAATATAAAATATTTATTCAACATCAAAACAAAAACATAATTCATTCATCCCTCTCCTCAACACTAATATCATTCAAACTAGCATCACTGTCATATTGATCAACTGTATCAATATGAAAAGGATATTTCCCACTATCAAATGTTGAAGGATCTTTATCTATCTCATCATCTTCATCCATAAGCATAGCTCTTATGGACTTGCTTTTGACTTTCCTCTTACCTGTACATATGAACAATGAATTAAAATTATAAAATTCAGTGGTAATGAATTAAACACTAATTGTAACTTTCACTCCATGATTTACTTTCCATACTTACTTGAGGTTTCACATTCTTTTCTCTTTTTTGAAGCTAACGAGGAAAGAAGAACATCATCGTCAAGAATAAGATCATCATCAATAATAGGATCTTGAGTTCTAGAATGGACAATAGGCTCTTGAGTCCTAACATGTATATTCCCTTGCTCTTAAGTCCTAGGATCACCAATAGGCTCCACAGAAATAGGCACTCGAGTATGTAGATCAGTTTCATAAGGTTCAGTGGGCATATTTCTGATGACATCAACATCATATAATTCTTGAGAATTAAGCCAAATAAGATCAGTTGGTAGAATTGGTTCTTCAACCTCAGCTATCCATTCATCATCGGACTCAATTTCATTCACCAATATTGGATCAATCTTTGACCTCCTTTTAATACTTTTCTCTCTTAGTGCCGTATTATACTTCACATATACTAGAGCATTAAGCTTTTGATGTTCAAGTCTATTTCTTTTCTTTGTATGAATCTAAAATAAAAATAAACATACAAAATTAGATTTAGAAGCATCAAAATTTGAACAATAAATTAACAAAAGAACTTTACCTGCTCAAATGTGCTCCAATTCCTCTCACACCCAGATGCATTACAAGTAAGGCTAAGGACCCGAATAGCAAACTTTGTCAACTCAGGTGTGTCCCTTCCAAAAAGCTTCCACCAATTTGCTAAAAAAAACAAAACAAATCCATCTAATTAAGTTTAACATTTATTTCAAGTGTTCATTATACTCGAATGAAAATGAAAAAGTAAAGATTATAACCTGGAGTTCGTAGTTTCCTTGAATTCACTGCAAGACGACTTCCAAACTCTCCTTTTGCCTCATCATACAAGTCCAACTGGATATCAGCAGTCATACGATCCTCGAAAGACAACATCCTAGTCATGCAATCTTCCAATCCCTTCCTCACTTCATCAGCATTAGAAAAGGTTTCTTCATAACGCAATTGAGGGTTCAAATAATAACCAGCAGCATGTAAAGGTTGATGGAGTTGTGGGCCCCATCTTTCATCTATTTTTCTCCAAATTGGTTTATACTTTCTTTCAACTTTTCCACAATTAAAAGCAATCTTCTCTTTTGCAACATCCATTAACTCATAAATAAATCTCATAGCAGGTCTCTCCTCTGAATTAACTTCTCTTAAAACCGACACTAATGGAATAACACTTTTGATGCAGAAAGCAACACGGGACCAAAAATTAACATCATATAGTATAGTTGAGTGAGCCCTAATACCTTCATTATGTTGGACAAATGGTCTATTGTGCCATTCTCTAGAAGAAAATATTGCCTGAAGAGGTTGCTTTTGCTTATAGATGCTTCGAAGAGTAAGATAAGAAGTGGCAAACCGTGTGATTGCAAGGCGAATTATCTCTTTGTTTTTCGTGAAAGATCTCATCAAAGCAAGAACCCATGTATGCCCATAAATAAACTTCACTACTTGCTTGGCTAGTCTAATTGTATCTTCAAAAACTTTCATTTTGCTAATATCTTCTAACATCAAATCAATGCAGTGGGCAGCACATGGAGTCCACCATAACTTCTTCCTCTTCTCCATAAGTTTCACTCCAGCATTCTTATAATTGGAAGCATTATCTGTTATTACTTGAATGACATGCTCCTCTCCAACTTCTTCGACAACATCATCTAAATATTTCAACAATAACGTTCCATTTTTTATGGAATCAGATGCATCAATAGATTTCAAAAACCAAGTATCTGCTAGACTATTCACAAGAAAGTTTATTAGTACTCTATTTTTACCATCAGTCCAACCATCAGACATAATAGTACATCCATACTCTGCCCAAGCTTTCTTATGTTCTTCTATCATCGTATTAATGTAGCCAACTTCTTCCTTAAGGATCCAAGTCCTCAGCTCATGCATTGATGGAGGCTTAAATCCTACACCATATGCGGCAATCCCTTCCACCATAGGTAGCCAAAATGGATCATTTACAATATTAAATGGGAGTGCTCTAGAGAAGAAAAAACGACCAATCTTTCGACAAACTTCCTTTCTTTCTTCTTGTTTGTATGCTGAATTTAATGTACTTTGCCGAGCTTCTAAAGTGACAAATCTATCCATTGGTCCTTTTGATTTAGGTTGTGCTCTAAGAGTCTCATCAACTGCAGCACTCCTAGTACCAGGGATTCCATATTCTTCATCCAATGAAGTTTCCATACTCAGAGCCCCTCCTTCTAGACCATCCCCAATCTCTCTAAGCATTTCATTTTTCTTTCTTTTTTCAAGCTGAAGATTTTTCAAAGTTACGGCACACTCTTTTTTCACATGCTCAGGAACTTTCTTACATGGTTGCATACCGTGATGAGTTTGACCTAAATGATGCTTAAGTCTAGAAATTCCTCCACTGCATCTTTGATCACAAAATGCGCATCTCAAGTATTTTTCCCCCTCTATTTCTTTTGCATACTTCCATGCAGGATCTTTTTGATTCATGTCTATAAAACAATACAATTAATATTTCTAAGATACAAGTGTGATGCATGTACGTCAAAAAAAAAAAAACTAGTATATTTAAAACATATTGAAAAAAAAATTATACGAAGCTTCAAATTATAGTTTATTACAGTCAAATTATACAAGCATGATGCATGTACGTAAAAATAAAAAAATTAAATTAAAAAAAAAAACTTACTTGCAGTCAAAAGATGAAGAGAATTTCTGAAATTGATGGAGTTATCTGGTAAGGGTAGAAATTAGTGTTGTACACTTACTATACAATATATAAATATATATATATATATATAGTCCATATGTTAATATATTAATTTAGAGAAAAAAAAAAGGTAAGTACAAAGCTACAGCCGGTTGGAAAAGAAAAAGAAAGATATTAAAGATATTAATTCTTGCAAGAGAAAAAAAAGGAAAAAAAAAAAAGGTAAGTACAAAGCTACAGCCGGTTTGAGTTAGGAAAGAAAAAGAAAGATATTAAAGATATTAATTCTTGCCTATTACAATAAAGGTAAGGAAAACAAAAAACTGAAACTTGCGGTTTTTTTTTTTTTTAAAAAACACTTCAAGTGAAACGACGTCGTTTCACTATAAGATTGTTTTTAAAACTCTGCAACCAAAACGACGTCGTTTCGTTACAAACCTATAAAAAAAAAAATCGAGTTGTCTTCCTCGCGAGTTCATCTTCCTCAAAGAAAATTTGCAGACTTTCAATTTCTTCCGTTTCAGAAGATTCCAGATCTGCAACGCCTCCTCACGCCTCGCTCCTCCTGGACACGCCTTGCAACGCCTCCTCACGCCTTCCCGGCGCTAAACGTGCAGATCGCGAAACAGCAGGACGCCTCGGGCATTTTCCTCCCGCCTCGCGCCGACGCACGCTCCGACGCGCGCGAAGTCATGCCTTTGAAAACACTGCTGATTATATTGACCACCAAAATAAAGATTATACCCCAAACTAGGTGAGTGCAAATCTGACCACAAGATTATTCAGTCTCCCAATGGCATTCACCACATAGAGGTATGCAAGACAACAGCAGATATAGATACATATTTGTTTAAGATCATTCCAAATTCATATGAAACTTGGCCAAGTAAACTTTTACATGATTAACTTTTCAGGAAAATTTCAGGAAAAAAAAAAACATTACAAGTTGAGCTAGAAGACGTAGTTAATCTGCATAATGTGGAAATTGATGTTGAACTTGCTGCAGTTCATAATTGTACTCTGGAGTTTCTGATAATCATGATCACATATATATGCACAAGCCGTTTTTCATCCACGGCTTTCACCTGCGGTACCCTTCATCATCAACCTCTTCTCTAAAGCCCGGTTCTTGCAATCCCAGAAATATATCGTGCAGGCGACCCATTTCACCACATTCCCAAAGCAGAACAAGCTAATCTGAGCAACAACACCAATACAATTAATCCCTCTTCCATAACAGCCGATATAGATGCAAGGCAACCTTCAACTTACTTCCCAAGCAAAGAACATAAACATCAAAAGAATCCATCTCCACTCATTCCCACTGCTAAAATATATTGCTAGACCAAATGCCTTGATGCCATAAATGATGGCCCACACCATATAGCAAAGAACAAATCATACATTGTGTCTTTGAATACAACAAAGTATGTTGTTGCTAACCATATCAATCCCAGTAAAGCACAAGTTGATAAGACAAGAATATAAAGAGATGTAATAAAAGTGCCCTTCAATCGTGTTTTGTCTAAGGGTATATGTAGCATCTCCTTGAGGGTCATCAACGGTCTCTCTTCTGTGTATATCTTTGATGCCAAATCAACAACCACGAGCACGGTGCTGAGCTCTAGTAGATGGAGAGGCACCAGATAGAGAAGACCCAGATGAATGAACCCATCAGTATTGTGGGAGCAAATTTCGTCCCACTAGAATATTCGTCTAAGATTCCTTTGTCTTCTCCACTTATCTTTCTCCCTGCAACATAGATCGGGGTAAAAGGACCACACCCAGGGGGTGTTGGCCAAAGGCCCTCCGACATCGGGGTATTTCAAGGAAAACAGGACATCCACAAGAAGCTCCAGACATCCACAAGAAGCTCGATCTCGGCCCAAACATTCCGGACATCCACAAGAAGCTCGATCTCGGCCAGAACATAATCAATGTTCATCAAGCTTTGAACATCCTTGCCAGGTTCTGTGGATTACACTGGTTGCTGAGTGAACATCAGAATGAGGCTGATGGTCTGCCCCCAGCCAAAGATGTTGAAAGATGGGAGCTGCATGGCTCGGACCTAGATGATCTGCCAGTTGAGCGGGAGAAGTCCTCGACCAAGCTTCCTCATTCTTCCACGAGCAAGTCTTCCGTAAGGGGGTCTCGTCTGCTGGGAATGTCCCTTTGAGAGTTGCTTCTTCATCTGCCAGGATCAAGCTCCTCGTCAGCACGAACAGTAAGAAGATCAATGGCATGCAGGAGGTCTGGGATATTCTGCTTAGGTATCCGCTCGAACTGCCTAAAATCCATAATCTACCCTGTGAGGAGGCTGTTTAGAAGTAGGGTTTGAGTTTCTTGTGCTGATCCTGGGATCAAACTGAGATGACTGTACATCAATCACGATTCGTCTACAAAGACACGAACAGTCAAGTATGGAGCTGACTCAATGTGGCAAGTTTCGGCCAAAAGAGTTAAAGAGTCGTCTGCTCGAGCAAAGAGTCCTTAATTGCACGAACTGCCAATCCAGAAGTTGGTGATAGCTCCGCTGGTCAAGTTCGACACTCATGTTGAAGCCACGGAGGCATCCAAGTATGAGATTGTTGCTAATGTGTACAAGCTGGGATACTTGGATTGCAGGAATTGTGCTTCTTCTTGTTGCCCTGTCGAACATGAAGACGGTAAGCAGCTTTATCTTGACATGCCCCTACTCAAAGTGAGCAGAGCAATATTGTAGATGCAGAAGCAGTTGAAGAACAGATAGCAGATGAAGCTGCAATGGAGGAAGACTACTCCCAATGTGGCGTAGCTGATAAGGCTAGACCATATGCGAATGAGCAGGCAGGTGAGGCCGTTGAGTAGATGGTGCTGGTTGCCTGCTTTGTTATGGAATTTTCAGTTGTCTTTCAAACTTCAATTCTCATTGTATCTTGTAAGTATATGTCCGAAGACATAGCACTTGAAAGAGACTCCATTGAGTTTGTACTCACGAAATAGCTTGCCTACAATGGAGATAAGGCTCCTCGCCTATGTGCGTATGTCGAGGACATGACGCTTGAAAAGACTTCATGAAGTTTGTACTCGAAGAGTAGCTTGCCTTCAGTGGAGGTGAGGCTTGTCGCCTGCGAGCATATGTCAGGGACATAATCCTCGAAAAAGACTTCACTAAGTTTGTGTTTCGTGGAGTAGCTTGTCTAAAATGGAAATGAGGCTTGTCGCCTGCGAGCGTATGTCAAGGACATAATGCTCGAAAAAGACTCCTCTTAGTTTTTTTGCTTCGAGGAGCAGCTTGTCTACAATGGAGATGAGGCTTGTCGCCTGTGAGCGTATGTCAGGGACACAATGCTCGAAAAAGACTTCATTGAGTTTGTGCTTCGTGAAGCAGCTTGTCTGCAATGGAGATAAGGCTTGTCGCCTGTGAGCGTATGTCGGGGACACAATGCTCGAAAAAGACTCCATTGAATTTGTGCTTCGTAAAGCAGCTTGTCTGCAATGAAGATGAGGCTCATCGCCTGTGAGCGTGTGTCGGGGTCACAATGCTCGAAAAAGACTCCATTGAATTTGTGCTTCGTGGAGCAGCTTGTCTGCAATGGAGATAAGGCTTGTCGCCTATGAGCGTATGTCGGGGACACAATGCTCGAAAAATACTCCATTGAGTTCGTGCTTCGTGAAGCAGCTTATCTGCAATGGAGATGAGGCTTGTCGCCTATGAGGGTATGTCGGGGACACAAAGCTCGAAAAAGACTTAATTGAGTTTGTGCTTCGTGAAGCAGCTTGTCTGCAATGGAGATGAGGCTTGTTGCCTGCGAGCGTATGTTGGGAACATAATGCTTGAAAAAAGTACTTCATTGAAAAGCGTGCTCTTCTATTGATGTTGGTGTGAATACATCGCTTGATTGAATAAATGAAATTAACAACAAAGGTAACATCAAAAGTAGTTCGTCTTCAATGAAAGTACGGGAGGCTCGTCGCCTGCTTGAAGCCCAGCTGGTAAGTGAAGAACTTCATGGATAGTATCTTCGAAGGTGGTGAGCATTCCATTGTCTCGGAATTTCTTTTCCTTCTAAAGTGTCAAGGGTGTAGCTTCTTCTGCCCTCAGAGCGGCTGATCACGCAAGACCCTTCCCAGTTTGGCTTCATCTTCTTTGACCCTTGCCTCGGGGCTGTGATGAAAGTTTTTCTGAGCACAAGGTCTCCAGGCCGAAACTGTCTGATCTTGGCATTCTTATTGTAGTACAACGTCAACTGCTACTGGTAGGCGGCAACTCGAACAATGGCATTTTCTCGTTCTTCTTCGAGCAGATCAAGGTTGACTTTCATCTGCTTGCAGTTTTGGTCAAGACTCTCATCTCAATGCTCATGGAATGGACTGTGATGTGTGGGGGAATGATTGCTTCTGTCCCATAGGCCAGGGAAAATGGTGTCTCTCCTGTCGATCTCCTTTTGGTTGTGCGATAAGCCCATAGGACTCCTGGCAGCTCGTCGACCCATTTTCCTTCTGCGCCTTTCAGTCTTTTCTTTAGGTAGTCCAGCATGATCTTGTTGGATGCCTCTGCTTGGCCATTGCCCTGCGGGTATCTGGGAGTTGACAGGTGCTGTTTGATGCCATACTTCGCAAGGAATGCAGTAGTCTGCCTGCCCATGAACTGTGTACCGTTGTCAGTGACTATCGATTGCGGGCAACTAAATCTGCAAATAATGTTCTTCCAGATGAACCGTTCAACATTGGCTTCCTTGGTAGAAGATAAAGCCTCGGCCTCGATCCATTTGGTGAAATAATCAGTGGCAACGATCAT